ACCACGCCCGGCTAATTTTTATATTTTTAGTAGAGATGGTGTTTTGCCATGTTGGCCATGTTGGTCTCAAACTCCTGACCTCAGGTGATCCACCCACCTCAGCCTCCCAAAGTACTGGGATTACAGGCATGAGCCACTGTGCCCGGCCCCAGATAATTTTTTATATCACCTTTTTAATTCCATATTGTCTGTCTAACTATTCAAAAAATCATTTAAAAAACCCCAGCCTTATACAAGAAGCCTTTTCCTTAATCATATCATTTATTCTATCCCTCTTCCTTCAAATAAAAAGTATTTTCAATCCAAATCAGAATTCAACTTCAGCTTTGAGGGTATTTATTAGATTCAAATAATGTAATTGACAAAAATTACACTTGCTACCCTAAGAATATATTCACTAAAAGCCTTTTTTTTTTTTAAAGAGACAGTGTCTTACTCTAAAGAACGAGGCTGCCCAGGCTGGAGTACAGTGGTGTGATGATGGTTCACTGCAGCCTAAACTCCTGGGCTCATAGGATCCTCCCGCCTCATCCTCCCGAGCAGCTGGGGCTATAGGCATGAGCCACCAAGCCTGGCCCCTCTCTTTATTTTTATCAGCTGTTACAGAAAAGCTTCGAAATCTTCATAGAAAAAAATTATCATTTTTACCAGTATAAAACTTTTATTGCATCCCAACCAAGCTAAGATGAATACAGAATTGTTTCAGCAGAAAAAAGTTACCATTATCATAATTCAAGACAAAAATCAGCCTGCAATTACATGAGTTGCAAAACAAACTACTCTAATGTCACAGTCTATCCTAAAGCTCCAACTTACATCAGAATTTAAAACACACACACATATACACAACCCTGTGGATTCCTCCTCATTTATGTAAAACCTGCTTTTGTGATGATCTGCTATTTTCTTGAGTCTTCTGGAATGAGCACTGTAGCCCCACTCCGGATAAGGAGAAGGTATCACTTCTAGGGCTTAGCACTGCCCCAGGCTTGAAGCAGATGCTCAAATATTTGTTGGGTGAATGAACAATTGTCTGCTGATAGGGCTGCCATCAAACTTCATAAAGAAAAAATTCAGAAAAAGCAACTTTATAGAGAAAATAGGAAAAAGTTTAAGAGATATTTTGCTCACTTCAAGAAATCAGCATTTGTTAAAGGTGAAGACTGGATTGACTGGTTCACCAAGTAGCTTAGACACAACTGACTAAGTGGGCTATACCTTATCCCACCCCAAAGTTAAATACAAAACAGGTATTTTTTTAAATCATAGGAAAAACACAGGACAACTTAACTATAACATTATTATTTTTATTTATTTATTTATTTTTGAGACAGAGTCTCACTCTGTCACCCAGGCTGGAGTGCAGTGGTGCGATCTCGGCTCACCAAAACTTCTGCCTCCTGGGTTCAAGCGATTCTCCTGCCTCAGCCACCCCAGTAGCTGAGGTTGGAGGCGCCTGCCACCATGCCTGGCTATTTTTGCATTTTTAGTAGAGACGGGGTTTCACCATCTTGGCCAGGCTGGTCTCTTGACGTCAGGTGATACACTCACCTCAGCCTCCCAAAGTGCTGGGATTACAGGAATGAACCACCACATCTGACCCTTTTGTATGTATTAAATACGTATGTATGAATATAATACATCATCAGGTTTTTTAGGAAGAAAATACAGATGACAACTGATCTGCTGTTACGAGTAGGAAAGGATTTCCTGGCGGGGTGCGGTGGCTCATGCCTGTAATCCCAGCACTTTGCGGGGCCGAGGCGGGCAGATCATGAGGTCAGGAGATCGAGACCAGCCTGGCTAACAGGGTGAAACCCTGTCTCTACCAAAAATACAAAAAAAATTAGCCAGGTGTGGTGTCGGGATCCTGTATTCCCAGCTACGCGGGAGGCTGAGGCAGGAGAACGGCGTGAACCTGGGAGGCGGAGCTTGCAGTGAGCTAAGATCACGCCACTGCACTCCAGCCTAGGTGACAGAGCGAGACTCCTCTCAAAAGAGAGTAAGAAAGGATTTCCTAAGTATAAAAGCAAAAGAAGAAATCATAACACAAGTATTATATATCAGAAAAACAAGAATCAAGACATAAGACAAAATAGGAAAATATCTGCATGACAAAGAGTTAACATCTTTAATACACTAAGAGCTATGACAATGATTATTGAGGTTTAGCCTCAGTAATAATCCAAGTAGCACCAATTTAAAAGATGTATGTCCAATTCTGGGAGGGTATGGGAAAATGGCACTTTCTCAGACTATTGTGGGAACTGGGATAGCCATCTTGGACAGTGATGTGGTGGTACCCACTAGAAATTCCAAGTCTAGGCAGCCATTCTTCAAAATCACTGGCATATGAGGAATTTCAATCCTGTAGTATTTTTAATAACAAACCACTGGGAAATCCAACAGAGAGACAATGAAATGCATGATGGTAAGTCAGCCCTGGACTACACTACTACTTAAAAGAAATGAGACAGAGATGAATATATGAGAGGGATAAATGCAGAACATGTATATATAACACCATCCTGAGGCCGGACGTGGTGGCTCACGCCTGTAATCCCAGCACTTTGGGAGGCGGAGGCGGGTGGATCGCCTGAGGTCAAGAGTTCGACACCAGCCTGGCCAACATGGTGAAACCCGGTCTCTACCAAAAAATACAAAAATTAGCTGGGTGTGGTGGCAGGTGCCTGTAATCCTAGCTACTTAGGAGGCTGAGGCAGGAGAATCACTTGAACACGGGAGGTGGAGGTTGCAGTGAGCCGAGATTGCGCCACTGCACTCCAGCCTGGGTGACAGAGCAAGACTCCATCTCAAAAAAAGAAAGAAAAAAACAAACAAAAAAACACCCTCCTGTATAACACAAAAAAGTACATAGTTTAGTCTTAGAAGGATCTACATTAAGCTATTAACAGTGGTTATTCCGGGTAGTGGGAGCAGAGACTAAGCAGGGAGCCTTCATTTTTTTACCTGATACTTTTTTTTCTTTTGAGACAGAGTCTCACACTGTCACCCAGGCAGGAGTGCAGTAGCATGATCTTGGCTCACTGCAACCTCCGCCTCCCAGGTTCAAGTGATTCTCCTGCCTCAGCCTTCTGAGTAGCTGGGACTACACGTGCGAGCCACCACAGCCAGCTAATTTTTGTATTTTTAATAGAGACGGGGTTTTGCCATGTTGGCCAGGCTGGTCTCGAACTCCTGACCTCAGGCGATCCACCTGCCTAGGCCGCCCAAAGTGCTGGGATTACAGGCACAAGCCACCTCGCCCAGCCACCTCACAAATTCTTAAGTGGTTTGATTTTTCTATAAATCCATGTGTTATTTTAGTAATTCTTTAAAAAGTAAAAGAAGAAAAATAGATACCAAGCATTTATCTACTAAAGACAGGTACTGTCCTTTGAGAATTCCCTCAAAAGTTCTTTGAAGCTCAAATGGCTACATCTTTCCCATTCATAGGTAATAAGATATTTTAAAAATCTCCTCTTTCTATATTTCTTTTTAAAAGTTTACTCTCAATTAGCTTCCTCGGGTTGAACTCTCTGTACATTTCTTAGGAGAAACTGTATGGTGTCAACATTGCCTGTTTTATAACATCCATTCGTGTGATCTGAGAAAAACTCTTAAAAACCCAAACCACCCTACAGGCCTAACATCTTCCAGAAGAAACCCATTCACTGCCCATATTACATTTAGTCCACACAATTTCTGAGACAAAGCACAAAGCACTAGCCATACAACTCCCACCAGCATAAATACGTGGAGTACAAAGAATGTCCTGTCAGTCGGGCCCAGAGCACACCCCACAGCAGTAAAGGAGAATGACAATTTGAGTCACAGGATCAGGAGCAGAATCAAATTTGGGACTCAAGGAGTGTGATGCTCTTCCTTCCTTCCACACCTTCTATTCTCCTTCAGCCAAACCTTGCCCTCACATAATTCCTAAGCAGGCTATTTCTTATGGATGTCTACAACAGCTTCACACTGAGGTGTCAGAAACCACAAGAGAGACACAACAAAGTATGACTTAGGGTCTCAGTTGGAATCACAATGGCTGTATATGTGAAAACCCACATTTTTGCTTAGGGGGAAAAAAAAAGGGAAAATTCAATTGGAACATTCGGCTTTACCACACAGAAGTTCTGAAATCCACACGTCAAAACATCAAATGTGGAGTGACCACTAATCAAAAAAAACAAAAACAAAACAAACAAACAAACAAACAACAACAACAAACAGCTTGAGATGTTGAGCCTGAAGGAACCATTCATTTTTACAAAACTAAAGTCCACACAATGGTGCCAACTAGTTCAAACTGCAGCTGATACAGCACCTGAGTGTCAGACCTAGAATGACTTGGGCCCCCAGCTTTTTACAAAGTACTCATCCTCCTCTAGAGTCTCAAGAACAGATGTATATCTGGGTACTCTCTTTAGTTACCATGGGAGGAGTGTGGCAAGCACATGATATTAGTCACGGCCCCCGGTGTTCTGAGACAGCTTTCAGGAGGGTGTCCTTCTAGGGAACCAACCATATACCAGTTCCCATATCTGAAAATGCATTACCACTGCTCACTAACGCTGACCACTAAAGCATTTACCCCAAACCGAAGTAAACACATGCTGAAGACCGCTAAGGCAACAGCAGCAGCGCAGAAGGGCTCAGTGCAAGCGCTCTCAGCTCAGCTGACCTGCTTCAAGGTGAACTGAAGTTGCAGATCACCAGTTCCGGCTCTAATCTGACGCCCGCCCCCAGATCTCGCTGTAGCGACCAAGTAACCCTACCCACACTGACCTTTCAGGGCTCAGGGAAGTGACTTTTTTTTATTATATGGCACAGTTTGGCACAGTTATGTCTTTAGTCTTTGGGGTACTTTTATACTGTCCAAGAGTAGTATATTTTTTTCCTTTTTTCCTTTTTTTTTTTTTTTTTTTTTTTAAAAAAAAAAAACAGATGGCCAAACCAGGACATATACTAAAAAAAAAAAAAGGAAGGTTACTTACCTGAGCCCTAACATCCCAGCTACCATGGAATCCTGTTGGAGCTGGTCTACAGAAGCAAGGTGTATTCTGGGGAGTCACATGTCACATCAAAGCAGGAACTGGTGAGTCTGTATTTTTATGGAGCCTAAAACAAAGAAAATTGTAAGTTGAAAGCCCCCATTGAGCTGCACGACCTTTTTCCCAGGGCTATTTGGGACATTTTGAAGATAAACACACAGACAAAGTACTATGCTATTTCCCAGCTTACCTAGCTAGAAACAAAGGATAAACTGCAAATTACTGGCACGTAAGTAACACACAGTGCTAAAATAGAGGAAAGACTCATGCTTGTTAGAATCAACACTATCACAAGTCTTGTCACCTCTAGGGGACACTTCGACAGTACAAAAGCATACCATGAATGGTGATTTCTGGCCAGTATTTCTTCCACCACGTCACACAGAAATTCTCGGGGAAGAATACATATTCAAGAGAATATGCAACATCAAAATACCATCCCTGAAAGAACACATGGAACCTAGAGGCAGTCTCCCTTCTTTTTCAAGCAGCTGAATGAAGTTGCAATGAGCTGCTGTAACAACATCACATAAAGGGGCTTTAATCCTGAGAGAAAAAATCAGCACCACGGGAAACCAAGTGCTCTGGGAGACCCAAAGCCATCATCCAAAACATGCAAGTCTATTTCAGGGCAATCAGTTTTAAGCCTCTCAGATCAGTCAATCTCACTGTTTAACAAACTGAGTTATCAGTTTGATAGTTTCTCTTTTGCTTTTGAACACATGTTCAAAAAAGGACTTTTGTCAGTACCATTTCTGTCATTAAGATAACCATCATTTCCTTGTTAAAGCCTAAACTGCCCCATATTAATTACCCAATTTCTGATACTATGCTGGCCCAAAAGTAGCACTTTTATAAGCTAAAAACAAAAGCTCTGAGCATACAACTTAGAGACCATCCACACAATTACTCATGTAATCAAACCCGGAAGAAGGGCAACACCAACCAAGTCTTTTACTGCTCTTTTGCTGCTCTATAGCTAACAGGATGGTATCTAAAATTATCTTTTGAGGTTCAGTGAGGCCTCATAATTCCCTTAAACAGTCAAGTCATAGAATACTTTGAAACCCCAGAAGTCAAGTTAATAGTATTACTCGGTTAGCTATCTAATAAAAACCAAACTGGTATCCTGGCTAGGAGGCCCTGGAAAAGTCACTTCTTCTCAGGGACACGGGTTTTTTTTTTGTTTGCAAACTGATGGTGCTGGACTAAGGATCCTTCTAGTTCTTAAAGTTTAAGATAATTAACTTAAGATTTCATGCCAAAAAGAAAAGAGACAGAGGCTGGGTGCGGTGGCTCACGTCTGTAATCCCTGCACTTTGGGAGGCCAAGGCAGGTGGATCACAAGGTCAGGAGTTCAAGACCAGCCTGGCCAAGATGGTGAAACCCTGTCTCGACCAAAAAAAAAAAAACCAAACCAAACAAAAAAAAAAATTAGCCAGACGTGGTGACGGGTGCCCGTAATCCCAGCTACTTGGGAGGCTGAGGCAGAGAACTGCTTGAATCCAGGAGGCAGAGGTTGCAGTCAGCTGAGATTGTGCCACTGCACTCCAGCCTGGGTGACAAAACAAGACTGTCTCAAAAAAAAAAAAAAAAAAAAGAAAGAAAGAAAAAAGAAAGAAAGAAAGAAGCCAGAAAATGAGAGCAGTTTGTGAAATCTAATAAAGAAGAAAGTTCATATATATATAAAACACCCCTAGCTCTTAGGCAAGGAAGAGAAGTGCATCCTTACTAAGGTTTAGTCCTGTCAGCTTCAGAGGCAATAATGAGAGCCCAGACTACAGTGTCTACAGGAACTGCAAAACAGCCACACACCACAGCGGGGACACATTCACACGCCACCAGACCCAGCATATGTGTGCTTGAAGAAGTTATAAAGATTCAGGCTTTTTATTCTCTAACGAAATGGTCATTCTCCCTTTGATGTGGGGGTGGGGATGCCCTGCCCATCCCCCAATTCCAGCTCCCACTCTGTTATCCCACACACCATACATACCATCAAAGTATTTAAGCAATGGCATGTGAACCAAGCTTTTGACAGGAGAAGGTTTCTTGAAATAGAAAGGCAGAAGAAAACAGATAAAAGCAGAAGAGCTCAACTTCTACTTAAGCCCAAAGAAGAGGGGCCTGTTCGCGTCTTGTCCTACCCGGAATGCTGCACATGCACAGCGGCTTGCCGGGACAGCAGCAGTTTCACTGGAAAGGGCTGGTATGGAGGCACCGAGGACAAGGTCCTTCCATCGCAGCGGTGATAATGCTCTACCCAAGAAAAAGAGATTGTGTCTGCCAGCCACGCAAGACTGGTCTGCAAGGATGTCACCATAGTAGAGGGCAGGGAAAACAAGCAGGTGTCCTGCCACACTCTTCGGGACTGGCCAGTCTAGGAGTGCACTAAAAACACTGGTTACTAGAAATATCAAACATTTTCTGTGATTCTCTCCTCCTCCAAGATAACTCGGGCAGCTTGAGAACAAACTGCTTTTAGCTAATTAAAAGATTTCTGCTGATATTACCCTTTATAAAATATTTCAGGTTCCAGGACACGTCATTTATCATGCAGAGTCCAAAGCAGTGGAAACCAGGCTCCAATAAGGAACTAACAATTTTATCTCTGTTGTTCTTTATTTTAGGTTAAAGAAACGAACTTCTCATTTCATCTCCACATGGGAGGAATGTTCCAGAGGGGGTAACAGCCTATTAAACTCATCTAGCCAGTTTTTTTGTTTCTTTATTTTTTTTTCAAACTCCACAGCTTGCCTCTCTACTCCACTAGATTAGATTGCACAGAGGCAGGGCAGGCACGGGAAATGACTCTGGTTGGAAATTACAAACATATACACACAGAATGTAAGCACCATAACCCTTTGAATACACAGTGGTTTGTGCCTTGCCCCAGACCTACCTAAGGATTTAAACAGCACAAAAGTCGGAGTTCTGCTGACTGTATGACACTCTCCTATCAATCGGGTAAAACAAAGACCCAGTACTCTAAGCTTAAAGCATTCCAGGTTAAATTTTAGTAACAGGCAATAGGAAGGTGTGATAGGCCAGTGCTAACAAGAAAGTCATAGATGGTTTCTTTGAGCTGTTAGGACACTGGAAAGGGCTGGTATGGAAGCCCTATGGAGCCATTAGGACAATGGAAAAGGAGGTACCCCTCCACCCGGCACTTTGAAAACTATACTATGGAAGCTGCCTGCACTGTTGAAAGGGCTAGGCATATGATAAACAGCTAACTGGAGGGGAACCCGAGGAGACAAACTGCCAACTATGAAGAACAAAGCAGAGACCTCAACTTGTCATGTCTCAAGTTCAGAGGTACAAACTTTGGGATCGTCAAGTGAGGCTCCTGTGTCTGCCTGGGGATATGACTGTATTCCAGTGATCAGCCACCTAGCTGACCTGCCACAAATGGGTGACCTGTGGTGACTTATTTTAATCAACTTTACTACTTCTAGATTGATTGGGTGATTTAAGGTTCTGACATATTCACGTAAGAAAATAAAAGCAAGTGCTTCCTACACTTCCTGACTGGGATTTGAAATAGAAATCCTGAAAAGCTCATAAATAAGCCTATTTCCCTAAATCCTTGGTGGAAATTCCCAAAAGATTAAAAAATCCAGACCCCATCTTATTATAGGGACCCAGCAGATTTCAAAAGACTCAAGAGGTCAGCTTAATCTGGTTATTAACTGAAATTGCTGAGATACAGATGAACATTCCAGCCACGGAACCCAAAATTCTCTAGAGTAATAATTACCTATTAGTGCAACGTTACTACCGAGGCCGTATATGCTTTTTACAGTATAACAAAATGCCTAAAACTTATGAGAGTCCTACAACGCCTAAGTCACTCAGTATCACATCCAAGTAGGTATGGTTCCTGGATCACCAACCAACCCATGAATTCGATCCTGTTATCTCACAGTTTGGGGTACTGATCCCGCACAGCAGAGACACAACGTGTGCAAGCCTCGGCAGAGCCCATTCCTGTTCCTGGAAAAATAACCAGAAGCACACATCTGCCTGACCATGAGTCAGGAATATCAATTTTGTGGTGGAGCCCATTTCTGCTGTGACCAACCCACACCCGAACACACTCACAACAGAAGTCACCGCCACAGAGCAATTCCACAATGAGCTTTCTCCCCCTTGGGGTCCATACTTAGCAATGTCATAAACGGTCTCCCCTGCGAGAGCAATCCTTTTAAACTCTTCATAATGACCTTAAGTCTTTAGTGCAAAACCACAGAAACATTGCCACTGCCATATAAAAGTCATCTGAGTTTCAGTTTGGGTGATTCGGTCATAACCAAACTGAACAGAGAATAACCTTTCAGGCACAATGAACAGGAGCCACAGCGTCGCGATGAACTTGCTCCATCTGGTACCGGTGATCCCGAGCGCTCCAGGGCGATGAGAGCCCGTTACCTACTATGTCCCACTCCACTTATGTAACTGGAAGATCGCCGGCGAAGGGGAGGGTAAGATGCGAGGGTGCTCACATTCCGAGGCCACAGCACTCCAAAGAACCTCTGAGCACCCTGGGGACACGCTCGCACCTTAGAGCCTCAGGCGCCGAAGAGCCTCGGGTGCTGCTGGACGCACAGTCCCCTACTCACGGCTCCTGATGGGAACTATAACCACCTCTTTATGATGAGTTGTGGGACCCAGAACACAATGTCTAGTCCCTTTTGTGGACAATAATCCCCACCTCCTTGTTCCTGCTAGATGGGGAAAGGAGCCGGTGGACCTACTCGCTCGCGAGGGGGTGGGGGGGCAGAAATTCATGGAATGGGCGAGAAGGAGGGGGAGGCAAAGCCCAGAGATGGGGGTGAGAGCTCAGGAACCCTTGTGGCGCACTCTCCCGACGGGAGGCGAAGTGCGCACGCGCGCCGGTGGGGGGGGCCAAGTAACGGGAGAGGGGGCGCGCGAGGGAGGAGAGGGGAGAGCGCGATCCAGGGAGAGGCCGGGGCCGCGGGCGCGCGACGGCGCCGCGGCCCAAAGCCCCGAGAAGGGCAGGAGCGCGCGCAGCCCCGACAGGCGAAGCCCCGGCGACAGGGGCGCCCGCGGGGCCGGGGGCCGGGATGCGCGCCGAGGGCGGAAGGAAGAGGGGCGTCAGGCGAAGGCGGCTCCAGGGAGGCCGCGCCGAGGACGGTCACCCGCGAGCACGGGTGACGGGCCGAAGGGAGAGTCGCCACCGGCGGCGGCGGGAGGGGGAGGGTAGAGAGGAGGGACGCCATCCGCCAGCCGTGTCGTCCGACCCCGCGGGCCCCTCCCGCGCCACGTCCCGCCCCTGACCCCCGCCCCCCGGCAAGGGTCCCCGCCCGCGGCCACGGCGGTCCCACTCACAGTCTCTCCTCCTCGCCTCCTCCTCCTCCTCCGCTCGGCGCGGCGGCGGCGGCGGCGGCCATTTTCCGGACGGCTTTTACCACAGCCCTCTCTCCGAGAGGAGGGAGCGCGCGCGCCGCCGACGCCGGGACCCCGCACGGTCGACGTCGCGCCCCGCCCTCCCGGCCGGCCCGCGCGCTGCTGCACCTGCGCGCCCGCGCCCCGCCCCCGGCGCCGCTGCGAGCCAGCCCGCCATTGGCTGTGATGGCCGGGCTGGGGCGGGGGGGGCGGTCACAGCGGCGATGCCGTCAATTGGCGAGATTTCTTGTCCATTTCGGCCAGGGAAAAGGAGGCGGTCCCCGCCAGCTGTTGATTGGCTGCTTTCGGCCGTCGTTTGGGGAAAAGAGGCGGCTTGGGCGCGGAGGGGCTGGTTTAGTGGGCGGAATTTGAATGTTAAGGATTAATGGACCCTTGCGGATGCTGGGGCAAGTGAAGGCCCAGGCTCGGGACGCCTGTTTGCGCGGCCCTGAGGGGCGATTGACCCTCTGTCCACAGATGCACCGAGTGCGCTGCAATAAGCGTTTCACTGCACCCGCAGTTTCTCAATATCACCATTTTCAGCAGAAGCAGCAAAGTTGCCCGCCCTGGAGCCTGACGTTGCCCCAGCTGAGGGGCCTTGGTTTCAGAGGCCTACTCAATGCATTATTTTATCTGAGCCTGCCCAGTGGTTACGTTCTCGTAGGGGTGGGGAATAAACTGACAACAAATCCCAACCCTGGCCTTCGCAGAACTCTGGCGGGGGAAGAGAGTGCATGCCAAGGCCTCGTGACACCTGTCATTGTTGGATCAGATGGTTTGGTGGAGGTGTGAATAAGGGGCAATGTTAGCTCTGCCTGAAAGATGTGATTTGGGAGCTGAGATCCAGCAATTGTTCACTTTCCTAGAAAAATTGATTTGGAGCTGAGATCCAGCAATTGTGTTTTGGGAAAATATGAGAAAAGTGTTAGCTAACCAGGTGTTCAGGACAGGAGTGTTTGTTAAGGGGACCTTATCCTGATGCCAGTCATTATCCAATCCATTCAGTGATCCTTCTGTTCTATGCTTAGCAAGAAAACCTGATTCTGATTTGGCTGCCTGCCCCCATTCATTTATTGACTACCTGCTATGTGCCAGGCACTCTTCCAGGCTCTGGATGCATGGTACTGAACAGACAGCATACTAAGATTCTTGCCGGGAAGATTCCTACTAGCATACACGTAAATATAATGTATCATTTCACATAGTGACAGGGGCTTTGAGAAAGATAGAGTAAGAGTAAAGGGGGTGCTATTTAGGTATCTATGGGTTTTCATCCTCATTTTACTCCCTTATTTGAATATCTGGGGAAAGAACATTCCAGGCAAGTTCAAAGGCCATGAGGAGAGACTATGCCTGGCATATTGGAGACTAACAAGGAGGTCAGTGTTGCTGGAGAGTGGTAGGGAATGTGATTGGAAAGGCAGCCGGGGCCACTATGAAAACTGGCAGTTCATTCTTTTTTTGGGGGGTGGGGGATGGGGTCTCATTCTGTAGCCCAGGCTGCAGTGCAGTGGCGCAGTCTTGGCTCACTGCAACCTCCACCCTGAGCTCAAGCGATCCTCCCTGCTCAGCGTCCTAAGTAGCTGGGACCACAGATGCTTACCACGCCTGGCTAAGTTTTTGTATTTTTGATAGAGATGGGGTTTCACCATGTTGCCCAGACTGGTCTCAAACTCCTGAGTTCAGGTGATCCGCCCACCTCAAAGTGCTGGGACTACAGGCGTGAGCCACCTCACCTGGCCAGAACCGAGAGTTTATTCTAAGATGAGAAGCCTTCAGAGGATTTTGAGCCAGGAGCTGTCTGATGTATGTTGCAGGTGTAGAGTGGAGAACTGGACATGATGGGACAAAACTACAGCACAAGGCTAGTTGCGAGGCCCTAGAACAGTCTAGGAGAAAGAGATGATGGTGGCTTTAACTAGGGTGGTAGCAGTCAGTGCAGCTCTGAGAAGTTGCGAGATTCAAGATATGTTTTCAAAACTGAACAAAAGGACTGGATGTAGGGCATAGAGAAAGGAAAGAAACAAGGGTAATTCCTGAGATTGGGGCCTGAGCAACTGGGGAAGTAAGGGTGCCTTTCACCATGGTGGGGAGAACTACAGGAAAAGTACATTTTCAGAGGTGCAGATCAAGAGTTCTGCTTTGGCTATATTAAGCTTGGGGTGCCCAGTGGTGTGAAAATGGAGATGTTGAGTAAGCCGTTGGGTGTGTGATGCTGAAGTATAGAGATGCAGCTAAAGCAGTCAAAAAGTCATCACGCTGAACATCCAATTCAAGAAGCCATAAAATAATGACAGAGTAAGCCTGCAAAAGTAGAAGAAAGAAAAATAAGGATGAATAAAACTTAATGAAATAGAAACAAATGATGGAGAGGATTGAGAAAATTTTAAACCTGCTTCTTTGAAAAGCTGAAAAACAAGAGCCAACCCTCTAACAAGCTGGATATAAAAAGAAAAGAGAAAAGTAAATTATATTACTCATGGAAAGATTTTATTGTGAACCGTGCGTCAGTAAATTTGAAAACATAAGCAAAAGGAATACATTCCTGGGAAAGTACAGCTTACCAAAACCAACTCTAGAAACAGAAAATCCCTGTAACCAGAATGAAATTGACTATGTATTTAAAAACCTACCCATCCCCCTACACACAGACACAGACACACACACACACACGCACACACACACACAGAGAGAGAGAGAGAGAGAGAGAGAGAGAGAGAGAGAAAACAGACCAAGAGGGCTTTACGGATGACTTCTACCAAATCTTTAATGAGTAGGCAATGCCAATCATACACAGAAAAGAAAGAAATGTCTCCAAACTTATTTTACTAGACTAATATATCTACTATGATGAGCCAAGAAAAGTATGACACAAGATGTGGAAATAAGTTTTAAAATTCTAAATAAACTGAATCCTGCAGTATATGATCTATCACAACCGAGTTCAGTTTTATCCTAAGAATGCAAATATGGTTTACAATTAGAAACTCAACCTTAACAAACTTAAGGGGAAAAACACCACATAATTATTTCAACAGATGCAGAAAAAGCATTCGATAAAATTCAACATCTACTTATGATTTTTTTTAAAAATCAGAGAACTGGAGTTCAAGACAAGCCTGGGCAACATAGCAAGAAGCAAGACCTGGTCTTTACAAAAAAAAAAAAATTTAAATATTAGCCAGACGTAGTGGCACACACCTGTAGTCCCAGCTCCCTGGAAAGCTTAGGTGGAAGGATCACTTGAGCCCAGGAGTGAGCTATGATTGCACACAGCACTCTAGCCTGGGCAACAAAGCAAGACCCTGTCTCTTAAAAAAAAAAAATTGACCAGGCATGGTGGCTCATGCCTGTAATCTCAGCACATGGGTCACAAGATCAGGAGATTGAGATCATCCTGGCTAAAATGGTGAAACCCCATCTCTACTAAAAATACAAAAAAATTAGCCGATCATGGTGGCACGCACCTGTAGTCCCAGCTACTCAGGAGGCTGAGGCAGGAGAATTGCTTGAACCTGGGAGGTGGAGGTTGCAGTGAGCCGAGATCGTGCCACTGCACTCCAGCCTGGGCAACAGATCAAGACTGCATCTCAAAATAAATAGATAGCTAGATAGAGAGACAGACAGATAAAATAAAAGGTTAGGAGAAGGCAAAAGACCTGAATAGACGTTTCTCAAAAGAAGACATTCAAATGACTAACAGGTATATGGGAAAAAGCTCGCTAGGCACCTTGGCTCACACCTGTAATCCCAGCACTTTGGTAGGCCGAGGTGGGAAGATCACTTGAGTCCTGGAGTTCAAGACCAGCCTGGTTAACGTGGCAAGACCGCTGTCTCTAAAAAGAGGAAAAATTAGCCAGGCATAGTGGTGCACACTTGTCATCTCAGCTACTTGGGAGGTTGGGGTGGGAGGATCACTTGAGCCCAGGAGGTTGAGGCTACAATAAGCTAGGATCGTGCCATTGCACTTTGGCCTGGGTGACAGAGTGAGACCCTGTCTCGAAAAAAGAAAGAGAAGGAAGAAAGAAAGGAAGGAAGGAGAAAAAAAGCTCAACATCACTCAATCTCAGGGAAATTCAAATCAAAAGCACAATGAGATACCCCTTCAATTCAGTTAGAATGGCTTTAATCAACAAGACGAAAGAAGACAAGTTGGCAAAGATGTGGAGAAAAGGGAATACTTTCATACTGTTGGTGGGGTAGTAAATTAGTATAGTCACTATGGAGAACAGTATGGAGGTTTCTCAATAAATTGAAAATAGAACTACCAGCAATCCTACTACTGGTATATATCCAAAGGAAATGAAATCAGTATGTGGAAGAGATATCTGCGCTCCCATTTTTATTGCAGGACTATTCACAATAGCCAGATATGGAATCAACTTAGGTGTCCACCAACAGATGAATGGATAAAGAAAATGTGGTACATATATGCAATGGAATACTATTCGGCCATAAAAAAGAATGAAATCCTGTCACTTAAGACAGCATGAATGAACCTGGAGGACATAATGTTAAGGGAAATAAACCAGAAACAGAAAGACAAATACCACGTGATCTCAGTCATATGTGGAATCTCAAAAACAAAAAAGAATTGATATCACAGAAGCAGAGAGTAGAACAGTAGTTACCAGAGACTAGGGAGAGGATCGGGGAGAGGAGGATGGGGAGAGGTTGGTCAACAGGTACAAAGTTCTTATTAGATAAGATGAATAAATTCTGGTGTTCTGGCCAGGTGCAGTGGCAAATGCTTGTAATCCCAACACTTTGGGAGGCCGAGGTGGCTGGGTCACTTGTGGTCAGGAGTTCGAGTACAGCCTGGCCAACATGG